GGGGGGGGGGGGGCACGTGCAGGAGGCAACAATCAATGTGTCTCTCTCACACTGAGCTCTCACCCCCCCACACCCCGTGCTTCATCTCTCTAAAATAATCAATGGGAAAAATGTCCTTGGGTCAACAAAAAAACACAGCTAACATCATCCTCCAGTGAAAAACTGAACATTTCCAGCTATGATCAGACACAGGACAAGAATGCCCACTTGTGCTGTTTCCATTCAATGAAGTACTGGAATTCTGGCTAGAGCAAGCAGGCAAGGAAAGAATAAAGGCATCCAAAATGGAAAGGAAGAAGTAAAAGTATCTCTGTTTTGCAGACAACATATTTTAAGTATGAAAATTCTAAATAATTTTTTTTAAAAAACTATTAGAGTTAATAAATGAATTCAGCAAGGTTGCAGGATAAAATATCAGTAGTGTTTCTACACACTAGCAATGAACAATCCAAAAAGGAAATTAACAATTCTATTTATAACATCAAAAAGATTAAAATACATAGGAATAAATTTAACCAAGGAGGTGAAAGGCTTACACACTGAAAACTATAAAACATGCCAAAATAAATTAAAGAAAACCTAACTAAATGGAAAGACATCTCGTGTTCATGGATTGGGAGATAATATAATTAAGATGTCAATACTCCCTAAAGCTACCTACAAACTCAATGCGATCCTATGAAATTCCAATGGCCTTTTTTGCAGAACTGGAAAAACTGATCATAAAATTTATATGGAATTGTAAGGAGCTTCAAAAAGCAAAACAATCTTGAAAAACAACAAATCTGGAGGACTCAGACTTCCTGATTTCAAAACTTTTAAAAAGCTACAATAATCAAAATTGTGGTACTTGCATAAACATAAAAATATAGATAAATAGAATATAATTGAGAGTTCAGAAATAAACCCATACATCCCTGATCAATTGATTTTCTACAGTGGTGCCAATATCATTCAATGGGTAAAAAATAGTCACTTCGGCAAGTGATGCTGGGAAAATTGGAAATCCACAAGCAAAAGAATGAAGTTGGGCCCTGTCTTAGTCCACTCAGGTTGCTATAACAAAATATCACATACTGGATAGTTTATAAACAACAAAAATGTATTTCTCACAGTTCCAGAGCCTGGGAAGTCCAAGATCAAGGTGCCAGCATGGCCGTGTTCTGGTGAAGGCCCTCTTTCTGGTTTATAGCCAGTGCTTCTTACTGTGTCCTTGCATGGTGAGAGGGGACAGGGAACTCTGTGAGGTCTCATTATAAGAACACTAATCCCTAATCACCTTCCAAAGGCCCCACTTCCTAATACCATTGCCTTTGGGGGTTAGGATTCAATATATACAAAATGTAACTTAAAATGAATCAAAGACCTAAATGTAAGAGATAAAACTCTTAAAAGAAAACAGAGGGGTAAATTCTTAGAACCTTAGATTTGGCAATGGATTCATATATATGACACCAAAAGCATGAGCAACGAAAAGAAAAATAGGTGATCTGGACTTCATCAAAATTTAAAACTTTTGTGCATCAAAGGACACTATCAAAAAATTAAAAAAACAGCCCAAAGTATGTGAAAAAATATATGCAAATCATATCTGATAAGAGTCTTTATCCAGCATATGGAAAGAATCCTTACAACTCAAGAGCAAAAGACCCAAACTCCAATTAAAAACTGGGCAATGGACTTGAATAGACATTTCTCCAAAGGAAATATATAAATGGCCAACAGACCCATGAAAAGATGCTTAACAACTTTAGTCATTAGGGAAATCACAGTGAAATACCACTTCATATGCACTAGGATGGCTGTAATTTTTTTTTAATGGAAAAATATATATTGGCAAGGATGTGGAGAAATTGGGACCTTGTGCTTTACTGGTGGGAATGTAAAATGGTGCAGCTAATGTGGAAAACAGTTTGATGGTTCCCCAAAAAGTTAAACATAAAATTATCATATGACCCAGCAATTCTACTCATAGGGATAGATCCAAAAGAATTGAAAACAAATGCTCCAAAAAAAAAACCAAAAGAAAAAACTTGTACACAAATATTCATAGCAGCACTGTTCACAATAGCCAAAAGGTAGAAATAACCCAAATGTCCGTTGATGGATATATGTGTATAATATGTGGTATATGATAAAGGTATAAACAAAATGTGACATATCCACACAATGGAATATTATTCAGCCATAAAAGGGAATAAAATACCTAAGCATGCTATAGTTTTGGTAAACCTTGGAAACATTATATTAAGTGAAAGATGCCAGACACAGAAGGCTACACAGCATATGATTCCATTTATACAAAATATCTGGAATAGGCAAATTCACACAGACAAAAAGCAGATTAGGGATTCCCAGGCTTGGGGGGAGGTGGGAATAGACAGTGACTGTTTTACAGACACAGGGTTTCCTTTGGGAGGATGGAAACGTTCTGGAACTTGATAATAGCGATGGCTGCACAATTTTGAGAATGTATGAAAGGCTACTGAATGGTATACTAAAATGGCTAAAATGGTAAATTTTATGTGATGTGTATCTCACCACAATAAAAAAAAAGGTAGGTTGTACAGAAGGATTGCCTAGATTCAATGCCAGCTCTTCTCTTAATGGCCAAGTTACCTTAGGCAGTTTCTCAAGCTTTGTGTGCCTCAGCTTCCTTATCTGTAAAGCAGGGGATAGTAGGACTTCCCTTGCAGGGTTATTGTGAGACTGCGTGAGATATGCATGAGCAGCTAATATTATTACTCAAGTATGGTACCAATTTTGTTTAAAATACACCTCTCTGGGTATTATGGATTTTTTTTGAGAAGCAAGAATATGGGTAAATTTTCATTTTTTCTTTACACTTTTCTGTGTGTTCTTTTAATTTTCTGTGAATAGGTATTGCTTTTATAAACAGAAATAAACAAAACACTTTTTAAAAGCAAGAATTGGATAAGTATCCAAAATGATGGGCTACTTTTATCACAAACTGGAAATGCAATTATGTGGCAATTAAATCAACACACCCCAATTAGACCTTAATTCAATAAACTGTTTTTGCTTCTCTGTTCCACTGCCTTCACATTGCACCTCAGGAAACCTTACCCATTGCACCTCTCATCTGCAGGTGACAGACATACTCTCGCATTGCTTCTATTCTGGGTGACCTTCTAAACTAACGCCAAACCTTCACCCAACTGTGAACAATGAAAAAGAAAAAAAAAACCAGGTACCGGAAGGCTTAGTGGGTCTGCCCCTTTGTAACCTCTGGCCTTCAGAACCCCAAACTCCCCAGGCTACTTGGAACCAGCTAAAGTT